AGGTCTTTTCCAACCTAAACGATTCTATGATTTCTATGAAAGAAACTTGTGGGCTGATGTGGACTTAGCACTAAGAGGGGTCATGGGTGACTCATTCCGAGGGACTGACTGGGGGACCTAGCTATATGTTTTCTACTCAACTAGACATATAAATACTGAAAGGTGGGCCCCCAAATGTATTTCAAGTACTTTAGCAAAGAAGCAACTTTAGAGAATGGGACAGAGCACCATTCAAAGATATTTCCACCTCCTGAGCAAAAGAAACACCTAGATCACCTGTTACCATGGGTAAGTCTTCAGTGCACAGTGAATGCTATGGCAAGATATCTTACTTAATTGTGAAGAATTTAGCTGAGATGCCACAAGCAACATGTTATCAACACTCCTGCAGTAACACACCCTGGTCAAAGTGACATGAATTCATCAGTACTCAAACTGACTTGTGTAATGCATTACTTTGTACCAGGTACTCTCAGGAGCAGCTGAATACTTCATGAAGAGAAGGATGTGAATGGTTAAATCTTGCTAGAACCCCTGCACTGCGGAGGTGCCTATCCTGTAAATGAAATTTGAGACCTGTGTGCTACAGGAGTGGATTTGCATGTCATTCAGCTATTCGTACTGTGTGGATTTAAACCAGCAGAAGCAGGTTGGGACAGACATAGGTACAGCTGTCCTAGCTTAATCTACGGCCCAAGAAGAGTTAATGAGACTCTGTAAGTTTACATGGGGTCAAGGAGGAGTGGATAAACTAAGAGGAGAAAACCTCTGACAGTTACTAAACATACAGAATCTGCATCTGGCTTGGGAAGTTCCTGAGTTGAAAATGCTTGGAATCTAAGAACATAGTAGAGAATAGTATCATGTATGCTTATCCTGTTCTTAATTACTTCTCTAAGCATTTCCTAGTGGCCACTGCTGGAATCAGGATATAGACTGGGCTTAATGAGCTTTTGGTCTGATCCAGTAAGGCTGTTTTCATATTAAACCCTAAACCCTAGTATCTAAGAGCAAAGCAGTCAATGCCACCAATAAACAACATTAATGCTTTCACAATGTGTAGAAAAAGGGTAGGTACTTGCAGTGTTGTGACAGGCAGTGAGAGAGAACAGAAGTAGAGTTCTCTGTCCTGTGGTTCCTGAATGTCCCCAGGTGTTATGTGTGCTGAGAACACTCATTCCTACACAGGCCGCTGGCCAAGACAGCCTGCTCTCACATGCTGGAGACACACCGGCACTAGGAGAGGAAGCCACATGGACCAGCACTGAACCTGCCCCCTGCTTCGCCCCAGTCCTGTTCCATATTTCCAGCTTCATCGCCCTTTCAACTTAACTCTCTTCCCACCTGAAATAACCCAAGGACAAATTATTTGAAATTTGCCCTGCTCAGTCTGGAGCTCATCCAAAGAGAACAGAAACATTTCCATTTTGTTTCATTAAGTTTTGGAACAGACTCTGTAACACAGTGCGTTGCAAGTTAACAGTCATGGGAAATGCAGTCCAAATGTCATCTTCCAAAGCTTGCAGTTGTTTGTGGGGTAGTAAAAGAGAAAACTAATACACTCAAACTCCTGAACCTAACCTATTGATTAAAGCTATGTGAAAACATTTGTGCTGGAGGCAAAGCCAGCTGAAAAGCCTCAGTCGTTTTGGCAAATCCACCAGTAGAAACATTTGGTAGATGTCAACTCACTGGTTTTACTATGATAAAGGATGTTATTTCCAAGTGCAAACTGCTTTTCCCTTCATTATTCATTCTGGGACTAATATGACGTTTGGTAAAGCGGCAAGTTCAATTTCAATCCGAGCTTGGGCTCATTTCCTTTTCACGTTCCCTTCCAACTTTTCACATTCGATGTAATATTTGCCTGCAGTGACTGAGTACCCTGAACTTCCTGGCAGAGCTGAGAAAACAGTCTCTAGTAGTTGATTTTGTTCCTGTTTCTATTGTTTGTTCTGCATTTAAAATTCCTTCAGCCCCATCTTGTCATTTCGATATTAAAGTGCAGGTTGTGTTACAGTCAGAACTATGTTCCGATTACTGATACCTCCCCCACAGACCTTTGACAAAGTCAACCTATATGAATCCACTATAAAGCACTAAAACTATCTCATCCCTAGAGATAACATTAACATGCCACTGTTTTCTACAGAAACAAACAGATTTTTCACACACTCACGCATTTATTTTTTCCTCCTAAATTTTTAACCCATTTTTCTACTTTGAAAAAATTGATGACATCAATTCCTCTTGCTCAGATAGATACTTAGTCATACGTATTTCTGTTGGACTTGATTTTACCTAACCATTCATGACGTTATATTGAGTGTCCATTAGTAGCATCTATGCAAATCAGAGAAAAAGGGGAAATTTCACTATCATCAAAGATGCTCCATGTTGATGGTATGAAAAAAGGAGCTGAAATAGTTCTTAAATTCCAGGCTGAGCCTGCAGGACAGGATGTCAGAGAAGGCTGTAGCCATTTTTAAAATGAACACCCTTAAACAAAACTTCTGGAGACATCAGATTTTACCAGGCATAACACAGTGTTAATTCAGTAATAGTTCAGAGAAGCTCAAGATGAAATGGATGTGTAATGTAAAAGGAAACACAATTACTTCATCCTTTATGAATGAAAGTGCCCCAGAATCCCACAAGGAAGAAAAACTGAACAGCATTCTGAAAATTCAAGAAACTGTTCCTAAAATTTGGGGGTTGTTCACGCAGTGCTAAAACAGTGTTTACACAGCACTACTATGGGTTTTCAGTAATTAAGAACACAAGTACCTGTAGCCTCCTCATGGCTTCAGAGTCATGATCCGCCTTCACTTTGCAAGCCACAAGCAACTGTGCTGTAGAAGCTGCCACTTGTTTGGCAGATGAGATGAGCTTCTCCTCGCTAGCGTGGCCTTGTACTGAGGCATTAGCTGCTTCACAGAGATTGCTGGTTGCAGCTGCCACCATTCGCGCCTAGGAGACGGTAAAAAAAAGGCACTGTGTATTCTCACAGGATATTATTTCTTCAGAGAAGGTGCTAGTTTTCCTTAAGAGAAGTGGTTACTCACAGCAGAAATAAGTCCCTGAGACCACTGTCCATCATCAGCTGCATTTGCAGGGATTGCTCCAACCTGAAAAAACAGTTCAGAGATGGCTTACAGTGAAACAGAAAATACAATTGCTTTGTCTCAGATTTAGACAAACAGTAATCCATGAAAAAAGGAAACACCTGCACCTGTGACCGTACCCAGCACATACATGAGCAGAAAATCCAACTGAAAGTTAGTTGTCGGAGCAAGTGTGCTTCCAGCACACATCTGCCTGCTCATGTAGTGTCTGTCCAACTTGCTATGCTGCTTGAATTGCCCCATCCTTGGAACATGCGTAGAAGTCCCAGAGTAATGATTGTTGCAGTCGAGACTTTGGCCTAAGCAACAGTTGAAGCAGGAGTTCCTAATCTCCTGGCCTTTAAAATAACTTATTTCTGTCTCCACAACACATTTGGATTTATAACATTCCTGAATCTCTTCTGATTCTGGCACTATGGGAAGGTACAAAACAGAAAGCTCCACAGGGAAGCCCCCTAACTGCCTTCGTGCCTAATAATGACATTTGAGGAAAGCAGCCCATTTTTCTGCATGGCTCATCCACTGAAGCATTCATGGCATCAGCACTACTGGCCACAACCAGGAGAAAGTTTTCCTCCCACATTGGATGAAAGTAATGAAACAAAATTCTACATTTAGTTGCCAGCTCTCCACCCCCAGCTGCCTGGGTCTGGGAGTTTTTGGGAGAGAAGCTAGAAGATGTGAAATGTAAACATGGTCCAGAAACTTGTTGTATTTTAAAAGAAATGGGAACAGGGATTCATGTATAATGAGGATCTCAGGGATCGGAATTGAATCCTTATGTGTAGCATCAACATAAACAGAAGATGTGTTCTCTCATAGCTGTGGTGATACTGAGAAATCAGTTATACAAATGAATACACTAGGTGCCTGAATTCTTTATGTTTCAAGGTTTTCTTGCCTAATCATCCCCAGAAAATGTATTTTAAGTAGACCACAGATGCAGGAGTCTAGTTACTGGTGTCTGAATTTTATGTGTGTGCACATATGTGAGTGAGTGAATAGGAGGGTGGTGTGGAAGAAGACAGATCAGATCCAACTTCCCAGACTTCATCTATACTGCAGAAACGGAAACAGTTGCCTAACATCAAATTAATTCTTTCATAACAATTCCACAGGGGAAAGTAGTTTCACTTAAAATTTCTTTAGCAAACTCTTCAACTACAATATTGCACTAATTTGCCCTGTAAGATACTTTCACAGCCTTTACCAAGCAATGCTGGAAATTTATTTGGGACAAGAACGTGCCTGGTTCGCACACATCCATGCAGTTGGGTAAGAATTTCCTGCTGCCTCCACACCAAATAAAAAGGTTGGTGAGGAATCTAAGCCGATAGTCAGCACCATTTACTGTTCAGTAGTGAAGCGATGGATGTGGAGCAAATCAAACTTGTCCTTCCTGCCTACATGCCAGCCGTGCTTTTTCTGGGAAGAGTCCATACCACATGCCTCAGAAGGTTTCTTACAAAAGCAAAACATTTACCCCAATATCAGTAACAAAATCTTCCCAGCAGGCAGGTTGGATCCACTATGGGCAAGAATTTGGTCAGTCATTTTAGAAGCCAGCTTCCTGTACTTCTGGCTGACCTGGAGATACATGCTACCACAGCAGTCAGAGGATACCCCATAGTGACAGTTACCTAAGCACTAGTAATTAGTAAAGAAAGAAGGAAAATGGGTTAGGGCTTCTTTATTTCAGAAGTATCTTAACGGCTTTATTTATTTGTGAGAAGGATCATAATGAGAGGATGTGCCACAAACAATTCTGAAGTTTGATGTTTCATTAAATTTTGATTTTGTTTGCGATTCATTTCTTCATTTTTTTTTATTTGTATTATTTGCAGATCCTCCAAGAAGGCAAGAAACTATCAGTAAAAGCTATTTGCTGCAAAAATTCCTGATCTTTCAGCAAGTTACTATCGAAGAGTGACGGATAAATCAAACAAGCTAAGTTCAGTAAAGCAGGCTGAACAGATCTGCTAATATGGCACTATATTTGACAGGTGTGCTTCTGTTAGAACAGCAAACTAAAGCTTTCCTCAAACAGACAGATTAAAGTGGTTTTAGCAATTATCTGAACTTGGATGGAATACGATGCAAGTGCTGTTAGCCTCCATCTGAAAGACACAAATAGAAATGTATCTGTGGGAGCAAAGAAGCCAAAGCTACCTGATGGAGATTCAGGGCTGGTACCAGGATAGAAATACATTCTGTATTATTCTGTATAACTTTACAGTGGTGGTGGTGAGGAAAGTAAAGCAAGCTGTACGTCATAATGAAACAAAACAAGAACAGGTCTTATCACATAAAAGCAGACTGCACGATAATCGAAGTGAAGCAGGTAGGTCAAAATTCTCACTTTTTGGACTGTCTCCACAGCCAGATTTCAATGGGTATTAATAATATCTTGGTTTATGCGTAAGGAATTGATAAGTTCCATAGCTACAGCTTATGGTGGGTCTTTTCAAACAGTTACATCACTATCGTTCTGAAACAAGTCATCTGCTCCTGCTGGAACTAAAAGCACAAGTTCCCCAGGAATCCTAGCTGAAGTAGACAGCATACTGCTTTTGTGACAGGATCCATGACACAGTCTGCTCAGAATAAAGAATTAGATGAGATTGGAAACCATAATTATACAACAACAATAATCCTATATAACAAATTGTTCTCACAGGCAACATATCTGTTTGATGTTCAGATTTTAAGTTTCGAAGTATATTAGCTGGGAAAAAAACAGATGGATATGAAATGAATTACAAAGACCTCAATCCTGACCAGACCAAAAAGCCAACACGTTATAAGCACTCTTTCAATTGGTCCCAACAATAATTACAAACACGTCCACTTAAATGTACTGAATTTGCATGCAGGCCTGTGTCCGCATTGAATCAGACAAGAAAACATTGAGGGCTCAATTAGTGAGGCCCTTTGCTATTCTGGTCCAGAGTGGTATTGTATACTGAGACATTTATTTTTGGATCCCAAGCTGTCTTGTGGGACTGTACATTGCTAGCCTGAATCACAGATCTTCATGAAATGAAAAAACACCCACAAACACAAAAACTCCCCACGGCTGAAACATCTGAAGAGCCAAACACTTGATTACACTTGCAAGGTTTAAATAAACATAATTGTGGGTTTTTTTAAACAGAACCAGGCCTGGGCCATGTATCGTGATGAGCAATGAAAAGATTTACATTTTCATTAGCCATTCCCAAGCTCCTTTCCTACTGTTTTAACAGAGAGCAGCTAAGAGAGTAGATTCAGTTTTGATGCTTTCCCCCACTACTGTTGCTACTTGTCCTGTTTACCCACCTTTCCCTGTGCCACCAGTTCTCTCTGGGCTGCTGAAGCTGACTTCACGAGGGCACTGGTAGCAGCTGCAATGGATTTAGCTGCTTCCAGGATCTGTTCTTCGAAATCCAGAGTCTCATCTGCTTGCTATAACCAAGAAAGAACAATGTCACACATTATTCACCTGAAAGCAATTGTATTTTCAAGATTGAGGACATATAGAAAGTGAGACAAGAAGATTTTGGAACACATCAGTAAATTCAACAAGACCTACAACATCATTTTCTGCAGAGGAGTTTCATGTGAACTAATGCTGGGAGTCAACATAAGGGAATTCAAATATTAAGTTGCCCTTGTGGCTGCTCACACATGAAATTGAGTATCACACAAGATACTTAAAGAATTGCCTTCAACTTTCTAATACATTACCTCTACTAGGGCTACTCAAAACTACATTCAGAAAAGCGCAGGTCTTGAAAGAAATTGTTTTTCCATATCAAGATTACCTCTGTAGCACTATAATACTGGCTTCCAGGATTGCTAAACTAGGTAGAACATTTTCTAAATACTTAATACTTAAGACTTAAAGCATTAAAAAAGAACAGTGATAAATTTATAGTCTCATTCACCCGTACTAAGAAATGTAACATAGATACCAAGCAAGCGCATAGATTTAACAGCTTTTGGTAAGAGCTGTCGTTTCACACAGAGCAGCACTCTGAAGCAGTCCAATTTAGTCATCTTGGAGTTCCGAAGTTCCAAAGGTCTGTCTGGAACACTTCAGTCATCCAAACATGTCTTTCAATAAGCACGTGCAAATAGAGAGATCAGCTGTTCCTAATGAGGTTTCTTGCTATTTAAAATGCAAATCTATTGTTCCATAAAACAACAACTTCCCTGACTTTCTAATGATTTAAACAAATACTGAAAACATTCATCCATTTAAGCATGCTTACTAGCTGCTGAACAGTTAACAAAATAGAGACAAATGGTTATTGTTATTTTAAACAGAACCAGGCCTGGGCCATGTATTCTGATTGGTTTTTATGCAAAATAAACCAACAGAATATATTTTGTTTGTGATCAAATCACAAACCTACCAGAATCCAATGCAGTATGACCAGCAGGGCTAGTGGATACAATACCAGAACAGACCACCTTGTGAGAGATGAGGCTTTTGAAATACAGGCTTCTTCCAACTTACGCAACCACAGCATTCTTGCGTCAAATAACTAACTTTAGGAACACCAGCTTAAGTGGGCTTTGGAGTTAGAAAACTGGGCACTTCATTTGCAAGTCTAAGCGCATCCATCTAAATTTAAGTCAGGTTTAGTTCTCCTGTTACTGCAATCTGATGAAACAGTAGTCAATTATAAAATAATAGAAGATAATGATGAAGAATTACAATTCATTACAATATGGCACATCAAGGAGTGCTCAGTCCTACAGCACTTCACATAACTGCCACATAACTAAAACAAAGTCCAGGAGATGAAACCATAGCATCCATAGACACCAGAAAAACTGAATGATCTGAAAATAAAAACTGATGTATAGATGAAGTTGTTTGGCACTTTAAGGTTTTTCTTATCCTTTAGGAAAAGCCAATTAATTCAAGGAAAAGTATTTGTCTTGCCTTGCTATTGGGCTAATCCCATCAACTGAAGCATATGTCTTTGTAATAAGAGTAGAAGAAATTGCTTTGTAAGGTAAGCGAGTCGTGTTCCACGTGAATTTTTGGCAATGCTTGCAATGTGACATCATGACCATTATTATATCTAAGTGGTAATCATGTTGGTCCTGAATTTATGGCAAGAGGCCTTAAGTCTTATTTATAAAACTCTTACTTCAATCATGACATCACAAAACCGAAGTCGCTAAATGGAATTCAGTATAGTCACTATCAGATTGCTTTTCATTATTAAAATAGATGTATTGCTGACTTTGATTCAAGTTGACTAAAGACTTAAACTGAAATATCAACAGAAGTACCACTGGATGACAGTCAATTTAACAGACTGTTACCGCACTTTTACTTTTGTCCAAGGCTCCCTGTTATTGAGAGTTTCAAAATTTTCATTTCCAACATAACAAAATGCATTATATATATTATTCTTTATATGTCAGCACTGTCAGGAATTCAAACTTAAATGAGTGAGCATTTTGGTATCGGCTTATTTATTTTAAAGGAGGTGTCATTCTTTTGTAAAGTTTAATAAAATGCCCATGGCCATACACTGATCTATTAGGCAGCTGTGTATATGCCCAGATGGTATTCAATTTGCAAAAAACCAGCCACCAAAAAGAGGCTGAAGTGGTTGTCTGAACTCAGTTCAGCGTACGGAGTGGACTAAATATGGCACATAAGTGCTAAGCAAAAGGGACTACAATTAAATGGAATGCAGAGAAATCAGATCTTGCATTACTGAGAATGCTATTGTACAATGGCTGGATTAACTTCCACCAAGCAGGTAAAGCTCATCAGGAAAACAGATAGCTAAACCTTAGTATCTCACCAGATAACAGATCTTTTTTTTTCCCCCTGTGTACCAAGTGAATTTCTTTCCAATTACATTGAAATTTGGGTGGTGGGGAAAACAAACCACACCCTGAGTTTCTCAAACTTCCAAATCCTACATTTCCTGTCATCTCACAACTTCTTTTATTTCTGGAAAAAAGAAAAAAAAAAATTTCTATTGACAGTTGATCCCTTCTGTGGAGAATTTATTTTTGAAGCAGCCTTACACAGCACTCAAACTGCAGAACTTCTGTTGAGTTTTTATCTTTTCTAACAAACCCTTGTTTTCCAGTCCTTCCCTGCAGTTTTCCCTTCAGCATTCTCAGGTATGACATCTAAAGGGCTGGGTACTCATGTTTGAAATGGGAAAGTAGGCAGAATGCTCAGTCAGCGCTGTGGGTATGTTTACCTGCCTGTACTCTCCGAAGTGCATTCCTTAGCAATAAGGACATGCAGTGGTCCCAAGACTGAACACAGCAAAAAGCCCTACAAGAGAAGTAATTCTTCTACCCATTCCCATTATGAAAGAG